GCTAGAGAAGTTGCAGGGGGCAGTGGTAGGTGCTCGAAGCTGGAGAAAGGCTCCAGCTGCTGGATAAAACTGCAGGACAGCTAAGAGGAGCTGGGAAGCTGCAGGAGGGCAGGGTGGAGGATTACAGAAGGTGCAGGAAAAGCCTGAAAACAGAGAGATGGACAGCAGAAAATCACAGGAAAAGCAGCAGGCAGCAGGGCAGCAGAAAAGCAGAGACAGGCAGCAGAAAATCACAGGGAAAAGGCAGTAGGTGCTGGAAGCTGAAGAAAAGCTCCAGCTGCTGGAGAAAACTGCAGAAAGCTGCCAGGGCTACAGGGCCAGGAACCAGGGTCTTCAGCCCCCTACAGCAGCACCTAAGTCCTGACTGCTGCCCATGGGAGGTGGTGCCTGCTGCAGTGGAGCTGCTCCATGGGAGGTGGATCTGGCTCCAGCCCAGCTCCCCTACCACATAGGCAGCATGGCTGGAGTTGAATGTGTGGTGGGGGCAGAGATGGGTGCAGCCTGGCCACTGCAGGCTTGGGCTCCCAACTATGCTGCTTTCCCCCTGGGGCCTCCAGGGCTCAGTGGGCAGGACCCAATGCATCAGAACAGAGTGGGACTAGGTGAGGAAGCTCATTGACATTGCTGGGAGCTCTATGCCACCTTGGTGAGGTGCACCCTGCCTGCCAGCAGCAGCAAGGGACACCATTCTGTGCCACCAAACCTGCTGCTGCTGCCAGGTGGGCAGGGGGTTCTTAGCCAGGGCAGCGTGCATCTTGCAGTGGTGGCAATGAGCTTCCCTACCCTGCCTCATTCTGCCATGCTGTGCTGGGTGCCACCCGCTGGTCGGCAGAGGACCTAGGGGCAAAACAGCTGGATGTGGAGCCTGAGCTCATTGCAGGCACCCCACATCTGCCCTGTGTACAAGTCGGGGGGGCATATGCCCCCCATGCACCCTGGGAGTGCACACAGCAGGGAGCTAATTCCAACCCCTACCCCCCAGATGAGATGCCCATGGCCCCATCCCACTCCGCACCTGGGCCCTGCGGCTGTGTGTTCTGGCCCTGGGCCCTAAGCCCCACACTTCGCTTGGGCTGGGCAGCAGCCCCAGCCCAGCCCTGCCCAACTCTCTCCCACTCTCCCTATGGGGGCCTCAATCCCTGCTTCCCCCTACTGCCAGACTTACCTGTGGGAGCTGCTCTCCAGACTGCCTGGTGGCCATATGCATGTGTGAGCGCACGCATGCACATGCCATCCCCTGCCTGATCACCCTTCTCCTACTCCCCAAGGCCCCTTGCAGGCTTGAGCTCTGCCAGCCTGCAGAGAGCTCTTTGCAAAAGTGGAAAATCCATGTTTCTCTGTTAAAATGAAAACTCTGCATTTTTTTCTCAGTTAAAAGGGAAAAGCCATGGGGTTTTTCCATAGGAAATGCAAAACCTAGATCCCTGTTGATAAACCATGAGCTTGATTTCAGTTCTCATGTCATGATCTTTGAATGCCCATTTCTTCAGGCATCCAAAGACTGCACTTGCATATTTGAGGCAATGATGGATTTCTTCGTCAATGTCAGCCTTCTGTGAGAGATGGCTTCCCAGGTATGGGAAATATTCAGTGTTCTCCAGAATCACACCATGGATATGGATTACCGGAGCTGAAGACTGTTCATTAGGAGCTTGTTGGTGGAGGACCTCAGTCTTCTGAATATTAAGTGTCAGTCCCATTTTCTTGTATGCCTCAGTAAAGACGTTGATCATTGCCTGAAGATTTGCTTCTGAGTGAGTGCATACTACAGCATCATCAGCATACTGGAGCTCAATGATTGTGGTTAGTGCGGTCTTGGTTTTGGCTTGGAGTTGACTGAGGTTAAATAGCTTACCTAAGCTCCACCCAGACTTTGTCCCACCAGCCATCCTTAGCAGCCATTTGGGTTTGTGCCATCTAGGGTTGGTGGACGCGCAGTTCTTTCAGGCTGTCCCACAGTTTTCCCGGCAGCTGGAGCCCTTGTCCAGCTCCTGGCACCAGCAGCCCCTCCCCCCATAGCTTCCTGAGCTCCCCAGCAGTCCCTCTCCAGAACCCCTGGTTACCTGAGCCAGCTCCCAGTTCCCTCCACACCTTCTCTAGCTCCCCTGAAGCCCCAGTCCCAGTTTCCCTCTCCCCGCTTATCTTTTGGCTCCCCAGTAACTCCGGCTTCAGTCCCAGCCTCTATGTCGGCTTCTCTCCGGCATCACTCCCCTGTTCTGTAGGCTTTAGGCATTGTCCTTTAATCAATTAAGGTCAATTTACCTAGAGTAACCCCAAGCCTCAGTTCCTCAGCTGGCTTCTCAACAGTCTACCAGTTCTAATCCTGGTTCCAGAAACTTTCACCCCCTACACTTTAACTCTCTCTCTCACCTTAACCTTCCCCCACCCCAGGTATCCCAAGTATGCCAAACACACATGTATCCACACCGTACCATCCAAGTTAGGAACTCACCTGTGTGTATGTCTAAGTGGGTGGTTTGTGTGCAAACTGGTAAATATACATATATATGTCATCGTGTGTGATATATGAATTAGTGATCCATGTATGTGTATTGTGTGTGCAGGTATGGACAATTGATTTTTGTCTAACTTTTGGTGCATATAGGTGCTTAAATTGGTGATAGGTCTGCATATGCCTAGACTGGTAATTTTGGATGTGTATGTGCCTGAGTTGGTAGTGTGTATGTGTGTGTGTGTGTGTGCACGCACGCGTGCATGCCTGGTGGGGGTGTATGCACCTAGACTGAGTGTGTGTGTGTGCCTGGTGGGGGTGTATGCACCCAGAGTAGGCATATGTGCCTAGTGTGCATGTATACACCTAATTGATTTATTGAGTGTGTGCATGTGCAACTGTACACCATGCCCTCCTTTGTAACAGCACGATATTGGGATCCTGAGCATTAACCTGACCCCACAGGGCAACAATATAATGCCCATTTCCCAATACTTACAAGTCGCCAGTCACACATCCTTTTGTATCTCAGGAACAAAACTCGTTCTTTGGGTCTCTGGAGGAACCTCTGATGCCATAACCACATCCAAAGCAGTGTCCTCCTTATCCTGCTTCTCATCTGTGCTACTCCATAAAATCAGAGGGGAACCTAGGGTCATGACCAGGGTCACCTCCTCTTGGGCATTCTTCTTATCCAGCACCATGGAGTTGTCACCCCACTGCTCCAACACGCTCAACGTTTCTGTCTCAGGACACTCTGAGGCTCCTTCCTTAGGTGTGCTCTCCAAGACAATGCCAGTCCCAAATGAGCAGAGACAGGAAGCCTCCTTGGAGAAAATGATGGACAGCTGGTAGTAGAAAGGAGCAATTGTGTGCCTTGCCCCAGAGTGTGAATTTTTATCCTTGGCCCAATGAAACACACACCTCAGAGCCTTGATCTTACTCTGACTCTGTGTCCAGTTCTGGTTGTGCCTTTGTGCCTTCATTTCTTTTGCTCTTCCAGTATACACTGGCTTATTCCTCCTACTTTTCAGCTGCTCTATGATCTTTTCCTCTGACCAAATGTTGAGCAAGTCCTTCAGATCTTCCCGGGTCCCACTGGGGCCACGGTTGATGGACGTGTCAGCCTCCTGCTCTGTTGCCTGCATACCACTGAACTTGGTTTTCTGAGGCATCGGGGAAGCTGTATGTGCCCAAGTAGTTGTCAAGACTGCGGTATCCTGACAACAACAGAGTCATGAAAGGTCACTGGCAAACTTGGTGGGGCTATTATATAGACATTTCTTGATGACATTTCTGCTGTGCCCCCAAATCAAGGGCACTGTGGCCTTGACTGCCAGAATCCTAGATTTTTTTGCAATCAATGAAATGAACAATGGGATTATATTGGGGCAGGGGAGCAGAACTCATTCTAACAGGGTATGGGCAGGGGAGAGTGGGGTGCAGGAGGCTGCAATGCTCATCCAGCACTACAAATACAGCATGTCTGCTAATTAATCCCCATTCCAAAGCTGTGGGGGGGTCAAGTATGGATGGACGTTTGTTGGGAGAGGACTTGATGGTTGTGGTTCTTTGATGCCTGCCTTAGTTTCTGAGATGTTAATGGTAGCTACTGAGACAGCAATGTCCATCACACACCTGTTTCAAACCTTAGCTAGTGTGGGAGAAGGCTGTTTTCTGGGTGGATGTTGCTTTCAAACCAGGATTTTTGTAGGCCTGGGCTCTTTTCTGGGGAGAATTTGCTTTCAAACCAGGGATCTTGCAGGGCATGGCTGTTTTCTGGGGAGATGCTTCCACTAAACCTGGGCTAGTGTGGGGCAAGGCTCTTTTCTGGGGAGATGTTTCTTTCAAATCAGGGTTCTAGCAGGGCAGGGATGGTTTCTGGGCAGATACTTCTTTCTAAGGACAACTACCTGAGAATGAGTAGGCACACCTGAGATCTACCCTTCTTGGGTGTGCTTATTCATTGAACCAGTAAAAGCCAGTATCGTGCATCCAGAGCACATGAATGGGTTCCAGGGGTCAACTTAAATGCCACATTTAAGTTCAAAGTGAATGGGTGCTACATCACCTTCCCCACACCCACCCACCATGGTAAAGGACAAAGGCTCTGCTGTACCATCACCTAGCACCTGACCAGGGTAATCATTGACATGCAGATAGGAGGTCACTTGCAATGCTCATTATTCAGCTTCCATTACTATTCAGAACCTCCCCCTCTCCCCCCATCCGCATGAACCTTGGTGGTAGTGCTGTGTGCTGAGAAACAGCCCTGCTGCATACATGCAAACAAACTGGCTTCATGGAATCCAGACAGGATGAGCAAGAAGGATGAAATGGAAATTCCAGATGAAATACATGAGGACATGGACATGAAGAAGCATAACAAAATTAGTGAGGAGGCCAAAATGGAGAATCTGGACAAAATGGGTGAGGAGGAGGAGGAACTGTTGTTAAGTATCCTGCTGCTGGCCTTGGACTTACTGCATAAAATAGAGGTGCAGCTAATAATGGCAGTGCATACTACGTTACTACTTGTAAATACTTCTGATGAGATGCCAGAGCGTAGAAGTGCCTCGCAAAAAAAGGCACTTTGATGTGCGGTGGAGTGGGATAACCAAGAGGCAGGTACAGAAGTGAATGCTGAAAGGGCTCTGTGGATCACCCTCAGGAGCAATAACTGCAGGGTCTGGGCCCATGTGAGCAGCACAGACTGATGGGAGTGAATCATACTGACCACTTGGAATGATCAACAGTGGCTCAAGATGCTCCAAAATACCAGGGAGACATTTAATTACATTGTCTTGATGCTGGGGCCAAAAATTTTGAGGCAGAACACTGTTACACATCCCACCATCGCTCTGGACAAGAGGGCGCCCATGGCTATCATGAAACTGGCCACCCCTGCCAGCCTCTGCTACATCACAAACCAGTTTAGCATGGCTCCCTAAATAGCCAGGCTGGCAACTCATGAGGTATGCCAGCTGCTGCAGGATATCATGGAGAACAACTTTATTTGTCTTGGTAACCCCCAAGATGTTAGTGGTGGCTTCAATGCCATAGGGTTCCCTAACTGAGTGGGAGCTTTTGACAGCACACCTCCCCCCTGTGCAATCCTCCTGGGTGGTGGGGGGGAAGAAGTGGTCATTCATGAACAAGAAGGGAGTTGGTCTCAGTGATCCTGCAAGCCATGGTGGATCACTGGGGCTGGTTCATGAACATTTATACCACATGGGCAGGCAACACACATGATGTGCATGTGTTTACAAACTGTCCGCTGCCTGCCTTGATGGAGAAAGGACACTATGCACCCGGAGTCCTCAACACAGTGATCCATGGTGTTGCTGTCCCCTCGCTTATAATAGTGGACAATGCTTACTCTCTCATGCCCTGGCTCATGAAACCTTATGAAGGCCACATTACCAACCCACAGAAGATGGCTTTTAACTACCATCTCAGCAAATGCAGATTGGTTGTTGAATGTGCCTTTGACTGCCTCAAAGCACAGTGGAGGGTGCTGAACTGCAGGCTTGAGTTGGAGTCAGGAAACATAACAGCCTTTTAGTGACAGCCTGTGTGCTCCACAATATTTGTGAAACCAGAGGAGAGGTTTTCAGTGAGTTGTGGGCTGATGAAGCGCTGGAAGCAATAGCCAGACAGTGACAAGGGCAGGCAATGCATCGCATCTGGCAATACCAGCATGGAGATGCTGGTTGGGCAGCCCTTGTGTGGGATTGCCTGGCCACACATATTATGGATGCTGTGAACAACTAGCACTGAATGGTTCTTCCCATAAAAATAAAATTCCTATTTACACTAGAAAACATCTATATCTTCAGTACATTTTTCTGTAATGGCAGGGAGGAGGTTTCAGTGAGGGGGGCGGGGGTGAGGGGGGCCCTCAGGTGAAGGATCAGGCAGGGGGCTCCCTGCAGACAGAAGCGGATTCCCACAGTGACCTGAGTAGCTGGACACCACTGGGGACTGCAGCAGAACATGGGAGGAGGGGAGGGAGCAGCTGCCTGGCCTGGGGAATGGGGTTATTGTTTGCAGGCTGGCATTTTGGGGGTGGGGGTGAGGCCATGCACAACTCTGTGCCTGAAACCTGGTATCCTAGCCACTCTGGGTGGACCATGATCTGTTAAGGGTAAATTAAACCTCTCCTTGGCCCAGGCAGGGGAGGCAGGTGGTGGTATGAGCATCCTGCAGGAGTCCTCAGCTTTTTGGTGTGTGTGTGGGGGGGGCATTTGCCAGCTTCTTAGCCACCTTTTAAGACTATATCCAAATAAATTACCAAGAATGCTTTTTAGAGTAAAGGAAAGGTGTCCATTACACCTTGTTTCTCAATGTGCTGAGATGCATCTACATGCCATGCCATTAGGTCTGGAAGAAAGATTTTGCCGGGGACCGGGAAGCAGTACCGGCTATAGCCACCATTGCAGAACCGTGCGCATTGCCAGATACAGTCACACGCATATGTGCAGGTATTCACAGCATCACAGTGCAGGTGTACCTGCAGCAGGGGTCCCCATGGAAACCATCCCAAGCCCTAACTGCTGAGGGATGCTGGGAAATGTAGTCCTGAAACACAGAAAACAAAGTGTTGGATGGACACAAGTTTTTGGTCTACCCCTCCATGATGTATTAACCTGTGGTCCTGGTGGTGCATGCACTGCCACCACCACCATGGGTGGTGTATATCCTCCCTCCACTCCAGCCGCAACCACCACTAGCAATGTGGATGAGGATGATGAACATGCGGGCCACCAATTCCTCACCCTATAACAATTTATATTTATATATTTATAATTTAAATTATATATATTTTATATTTATGTGTATATACACATATATATATACATACATACATATATATACATACACACACACACACATTTACATTTGTTTTCTTACATGGGAGTTCATGTGGTTTGGGGGTGTTGGAAAGGATGCACATGGCTTGGCATGGGGTCCCTGCCATAGGCCACCTGCTGGAGATCAGAGCCTAGAGGGGTGCAAGTGGCAGGGCGCCTATTTGGGCAGGTTGGGGAAGCTGGAGGGTCCCCTCACTCCCCCCCACGGTGGGTGGGATGGGCTTATGATTACTGTGGATTATCATCAGGATCCCTTGCTTGGAGAGAGGGGGCCTTTTGGGGGGCCTTTAAGGGGCTATAGGGGGCATGGGAGGAGATGGGGGAGGGGTGGGAGTTCACATGGGATCAGTGAGTTTACAAGGGGTGGAAGTTCACATGGTTTCAGGGTACCCACAGTTTGACAGAGTGGGGTTAAGGTGGGGTTAGCATAAGGCTCCCAGGGCGGAGGGATCAGGAGTGAGGAGGGAGGGGATTAGTAGTGTATTACTGGTCTACATACACCCCCAGCTGTAATTCAGTAGTGAAGACAGCAGCAGAGTAGATAGGTATGTGGCTCCCCCTGCTGGAATTTACAGGGAATTGCATACTGGGCTTAATTAATTCTAAAGTCTAGTACATGCAAACACAGATGCAATGCTCTAAAAAACACAATTTTAAATTTTATAAACCTATTTAATTTAATGAGGATTAAACCCCCGGATCTGAACAGGCACCCAGTGGCCTTACATATGCTCAAGGTGGGGAGGGGGTGCTTTAATTAGAGGCTGTCTCAGGAACTGCTCTAATTAAGGAGCCCACAGCTTCTCATGTAGTCAGCATCCCACACTTCAAAATGTTGGAAGGGGCACTGAAGTGAAGTTCTCCCAACAAGTTTTAGTTAAAGCACCCTGCCACCATTCTGAAACATGAGGATGCTGAATACTGAGACAGCAAGGCTGATAGAGCATGCTACAATTACAGTGCATCAGAGCAGGTGTCTCATACTTCTACAGGCACCCTGAAACACCAACTTGTAAGATTCTAATTCTTTTATTGTATTTAGTCTTTACACCCTGATCCTTAATTTTACTTAGGCACCTAGCTCCCAAACCAATGGGAATTAATACTTAAATGTCTCAGTTCCTCATCTTCATGAAGTTGTGAGAGAGAGGCCAAGTACCAGAGGACTGGAAAAGGGCCAGTGTAGTCCTCTCTTTAAAAAAGGTAAGAAGGAGGGCCAGGGGAATTACACACCAGTTAGCCTCACCTCAATATTTGGGAAGTTACCGGAGCATATCCTAAGGAAGGCCATTTGAAAGCATCTGGAGGAAAAAAGGCTGATCACAAGCAGCTAGTATGTGTTTATGAAAAATAAATAGTGTCAAGCAACCTTGATCTCCTTCTTTGACAAAGTAACTACTTGGGTAGATAAAGGGAATGCTGTGGACATAGTGTATCTGGACTTCAATAAGGCTTTTGACATGGTTCTGCATAACCTTCTCATAAACAGATTGGAGAAATATGGCCTAGATAAAACTACTATAAGGTGGATAGATAAATGGCTTAATATCCACAAGCAAAGGGTAATTATTAACAGGCCCATGTCAGAATGGCAGAAGGTTTTGAGTGGAGCCCCACAGGGGTCTGTCCTGGGCCCAGTGCTGTTCATTGTGTTTATTAACAATTTGGATGCTGGAATATAAAGCTTCTTGAAGAAGTTTGCAGATGACATTAAACTGGAAGGGACTGAGAACACATTGGAGGATGGGAGCACAATGCTGATCTCTCTCAACAGATTGGAAAGTTGGTCTAGAGCTAATAGATGAAGTTCATTGTGAACAAATGTAAGGTGCTACACCTCAGAAGGAATAATTAAAAACACAAATATAAAATGTGTGACACCTGGTTGGATGGTAGCACAATGAAAAAGGACATGGGAGTCTTGGTAGATTAGAGACTCTATGAGTCTGCAGTGTATTGCAGCTGCACAAAAAGGCAAATGTGGTTTTGGAATGCATCAATAGAAGCATTAAGTGCAAGACAGGTTTAGGCCTCCTCAGGAGTACTGTATATAGTTCTAGGCTCCACCATTAAACATTTTTAAAAAAAGGACATGGAAAAGTTAGATAGGGTCCAGAGGCAGACAACAAAAATGATCAAAGGCTTAGAAGGAAGGTCATATGAAGAAAGGCTGAAGGAGCTTGCAGAATAAGGAACATGATAGCAGTCTTCATGTATATGAAGGCTGCCGTGAAGAAGAGGAAAAGCAACTTTTCTCTCTTGCTGTAGAGAGAAGGACATGGACCAATGGCTTGAAGTTGCAGCAAGGTAAATTTAGAATGAATACCTGGAACTTCTTCACTGTGACAACAGTGAGACAGTGGACTAGATTACCTAGGGAAATTGTAGACTATCCATGACTGAAGGTGTTCAAGAAGAGGTTGGACAGCCGCTGGTTGGGGATGTTCTAGGTGAAGCTATGCCTACGTTCTACCATGGATATTTCTGATGCTTATAGGTCTTGCTGGTTGCTGTCTCCCAACAGGTTAGTACAGACTGGGTGCATCTACATGAGATACTTTACTGTGAAGTAGAGCTAATTTCTGCACAGTAAGCATCCACATCTACATGTGCAGATACTTACTGTGCCGTAATTGTCTCTAATAGTGAGTAAAATTGCTGTCTACAAATGAAAGTAGCAAATTGACTCATGATTAGTAACTGCACAGTAGCACATACGTAGATGCCTCCCAGTCAGATGGGCAGCAGGGGGTGGGAGTTCCCTGCTTCCAGGATGGGATCTGCCACCAGAGCCTGGGTGGGGACAATGTCATCCTGCCCCAGCAGCAGGGAGGTCCCAGCTTCCACTTCATGATCACAGAAAATCCTTATCTCCCAGCACCATCTCCACAGTTACAGGGCTAGTGCTGGGATAGCTCTGGCAGCAGGAAGCTCCTGGGGGCAGGGAGCAATGTCCCAGCCCCAACCAGGAGATATCTGTCTCCTGGCCCCTGAGCTAGCACCCAGGTTGCAGGGCCATGGGGAGTAGAAGCAATCTGCTGCTAAGAGCAGCAAATCTTTTCACACATCTCTACATGTGTAGACATGTGCCCAGGAGAGTATACTCTTAAGTAGTTTACTCTAAAGTAAACTTCTCCTGGATTATTTGGATATGTAGGTTTTTGCCTTCCTCTGTAATGGGGGGCATGGCCCTTCACCCAGGATCTCTTCAGCATATATTGACAACATTTTATAGAAGTAGGACATTGGCTGCCATGGTTTCTCTGCTTTATCTGTGGCAGGTTAGAATGTTAGGTCTGTGTTGTGTCAATGTTGATGGTAGTTTTATGTAGAGTTTAGATTATAGACTGTATAGGTTGGTTTTGATAGGGATGATTCTTCCTCAGGCAGGGTGTTTGGACTAGATGACCTCTGGTGGTCCCTTGCAGCCCTACTTCTCTATGATATGTAAAATAGGAATAATCCCAATGTGCTATCTCAGAGGGCTGTTCCATAGTTTCATAGAAGCTAGGGTTAGGAGGGACCTGAACAGATCATCTAGCCTGACCCCCTGCCACAGTCAGGAATGAATGCTGGGTTCACAAGACCCCAGACAGGTGATCATCCAACCTCCTCTTGAATTTGCCCAAGGTAGGGGCGAGGACCACTTCCCTGGGAAGTTGGTTCCAGATTTTGGCCACCCTAACTGTAAAAAATTGTCTTCTGATTTCTACCCTAAACATATTCTCCATCAGTTTATTACCATTGTTCCTCATGAT